GGGGATGGATTATAATCTTTAACCCCAGGCCTGACGGGATAGCCAGGTCTTGAGGGCTGTGTGGAAGGTCTGGAGGGTGGTAAGGGTACGAATCTCCACGGGGATATGATATGATATGAAACGAAGAGGGCTTCTGAATGCCTGAATGGTGCCATTCGTTTCAGGTATATGCGTAAGGCTCTTCTGACATCCAACTTGTGCCACAATCTTTCCCTATCCCTGGAGGGCTGCCGACAGAAGTCCGGCAGAACAATCTCTAGAGCCCTGTGGAAGGGGAAGTTGACTTTGGGCATGAACGCGGGGTCCAATTTGAGGATGACCCAGTTCTCTAGAAAGGTGCAGAGGTCCACTCTGCTGGACAGAGTGTTGATCTCGGATACTCTCCTGGCTGAGGTGATGGAACTATACCCTTTGTCTGACATGGAAAATGACCTTAAGGGTTAGGAATTGTAGGGAAACTTCCCTCAAGGGTTTGAATGGTGCTTCCGTCAATGCTTGGAGGACCGTGGGCAGATCCTAGGTAGGGAATCGATGAACCACTGGGGGTTTCAGATTCGTTGCTCCTTTAAGGAAGCACCTGAGGACCGGATTTTGGGACAGAGGTGGTGCGTCCACCCCCAACCCCCAGGATCGTGGAGAGGGCAGAGACCTGTCTCCTAAGGGTGCTGGGGGCCAGACCTTTCTCCAGGCCTTCCTGTAGGAAGTCCAGAACTTGGGGAACAGAAGCCGAGGCTGGAACTATACCCTTTGTCTGACACCAGTCAGCAAAAGCAATCCAGGAGGCGTTGTAAATGCGGATGGTGGACTGCCTCCTGGACGCCTCGATGGTCCTAATGACCTTAGCGGAAAAATGGGCCCCTCTCAGTTGTACCCGCTCAATCGCCAGACAGTCAGATGGAGCCACTCCGGATTCGGATGCTCCAGCGATCCCTGGTGAAGGGACACCTCCCCTGGGGGAATCCTCCAGTGAGGAGCCGAGGACAGCTCCACCGAGTCGGCTAGCCAGGGGCGGTGTGGCCAGAAGGGAGCCACTAGAATCATCTCTGTTCCCTCTGACACCAGCCTTCTCAGAACCCCGGGAATGAGAAGGGGGGGGGGAGGTGTAGAATAGACCTGGTGGCCATCTGCAGCGAAGGGGGTCCATGTCCATGGCTCCTCTGATACGAAGCTCGGCAGCTGGGCGTTCGCTGTGGTTGTGAAGAGATCCACCGTCGGACGCCCGAACCTCTCGCAGATCCGCAGGAAGACGCTGGGATGGAGCTGCCACTCTCCGTTGTCGAACGATCTCCCTGCTGAGCCAATCCGCTTGCTGGTTCTCCGTCCCGGGGATGTGTTCTGCTCTGATGGACTGGAGATGTCTCTCTGCCCAGTTTCCTAGTCGGAGGGCCTCGTCGTGGAGGGCCTTGGAGTGGGTGCCCCCCTGTCTGTTCACGTAGGCCTTGGTTGCCACGTTGTCTGTCAGGACCAGGACATGATGACGGTCACCGTGGTCTTGAAATGGCATAGGGCCAGGTGGATGGCCCTGAGCTCCAACCAGTTTATGTTGTTGCGCAGATCTGTCGGGGTCCAGCGGCCCTGGGCTATCTGAGTCTCCAGATGTGCTCCCCAGCTCGCGTCTGTCGTGAGTATCTTCCTTGCTGGCTCCTTGAAGAAATATCCCTTGTCCAATGCTGGGGACAGCCACCAACGGAGCGAGAGCAGCACCTGGGGTGACACTCGAACCTTGAATGTGGCGTCACTCGTCCCGGCCTTCTGGTATGGAAGCAGGAACCACTGAAGCTCCCTGGCGTGTAGGCGAGCCCAAGGCATGATCCCTATACAAGAAATGAATTTCCCAAGAAGCCTGGAAAGAAGAACTACAGGAACAGAACGTAATTTGCGAACTTCATGAATCAGCTGTACAATATTGTCCTTTCGATCCTGGGGGAGGAAAACCTCCCCCGACACCGAATCTATAATAGATCCGAGATGGTGGAGCCTGGTAGATGGGACCAGGTGACTCTTCTCTAGGTTGATGGAGAACCCCAGGGATCTGAGCGTGTCGATGGTGATCCCCAGGTCCTGCCTGTCCCTGTCTGGGGACCTGGCTAGGACGAGGATGTCATCTAGGTAACAAAAGTCTTACTGGGAAGGAGCGCAGGTGACCTGCGGCCGCAGCCAGCACCTTGGTAAAGGTCCTGGGTGCTGAAGCCAACCCGAAGGGGAGGGCCCTGTATTGGAAGTGGTTGCCTTCGTGGGAAAACCTAAGGAACCTGCGATGTTCCGGGTGATTCTGATGTGAAGGTAGGCCTCCGTGAGGTCAATGGAGGCCAAGAAGTCGCCCTGTCAGATGCCCTCTAAGATGGATTTTAGGGAAGCCATCTTAAACCTACGGTAGACCACCCTGGAATTGAGAAGTTTAAGATCCAGGATGGCTCTCCACCCCCCTGAACTCTTGGGGACCAAGAACAGGTTAGAGTAGAACCCGGAGCCCTTCTCCCCCTTTGGGACCCTCTCAATGGCCTTGATATCTAACAGGTGTTTGATGGCCTTGGCCTTAAGGGCCCGCTTGGTGGGATCCCTGGAGGAGGTGAAGGTACGGAATCTATCAGGGGGTTGCGAGTGAAACTCCAGCTGTAACCTGAGCTTAACAGTCTGGAGGACCCACTCGTTGGAGGTGACGCGTTCCCAAGCATCCGCAAAAAGTGAGAGGTGACCGCCGATGGGGTGATTCGCGAACGAATCACTTGAATCTGCGGAAAGGACGGCCGCTCCCTCCTCGAAAGGGCCGCTTGCTCTGCTGCTGGCCCCTGAACCTATCCCTAGGGAACTGCCTATCCTCTTGTCGATAGAATCTGGGGTTCTGGTACCTCTGGTTCTGGCCGTCGGACTCAGTCGGGCGGTAGAATGTTCTCCTGGGATACGGAGCATGCCGGTGATCTGACCGTCTGGTTGGAGCCGGGAAGATCTTTCGCTTGTTCTTGTCCTCCACTAGGATAGGGTCCAGCAAGGCGCCAAAAAGCTTGTCCCCGGAGTAGTCCTGCCAGGTGCCACTTAGTTCGGGATTCTGCCTGCCAGTGTCGCAACCACAGCAGGCGCCTGGATGATACAGAGGATGATAAAGCTTGAGAGGCATACTTAACTGAGTGTAAGGTGGCATCAGCTGAGAACTGTGTGGCTGCCAGCACCTTAGAGATGTCCTGCAGAAGTCGTACCTCCGTGGCCGGAGTCCTGTCTCTCAGCTGTTCTAGCCATAACACTGTAGACCTAAGAAAGAAGGAAGCAGAAGCGGCTGCCCTAATGGCCCAGGTTATCGCTTTGAATGTTTTCCGCAGAACGATGTCTGCCTTCTTGTCCTCTGCTTTCAGGCAGTTGGCGATGTCTCCAGTGACCATGGCTGAAGCTGAAGCTAGGGTGGCAACCGGATTGTCCACCTCGGGGACCTGCAGAGCTTGGGCAAATGTATGATTAAGATCATAGAATCTCGGTTCATTGCCCCCCGGGTTGAGAAAGGAGCCTAGCTTAATCCACTGGGATTTAAGCACCTCCATGAACATCTCTGGAGTGGGAATCTCTTCCTTTTCCACTGGTGGCCTATGGAAAGGACCCTTCTTTTTCCTCCCGGTAGTGCTGGGTGTGGTAGTCGCAGGCCTGGGATCTGGCGGGGGATCCAGGTCTGCTGTGGCCCTGGCCTTGTGGAGTAAGGAACTAAATAAGGAGGGGGGGGGGAAGGCCAGCAATATTGGGGGCCTCAGTTGACTGGGCATCCTTATCTTCAGAGAGTCCCACCTCCTTCAACTCTCCCTCCTCCAATTCCGAGGCCCCACTGGCAGTGGAGGGGGAGGGAGACCTGGGTCCTCTGGTAGCAGAGGCCCTGGGGGGGATCCTGGTTACCCCTGGGCTGGTCCCGGGGAGGCCTACTCCTGGAACTCTGGGGTTGCTGATTCATTCCAGAGGTCATTATTTGGGCTATGGCCCTGGCTAACACCTCCTGGAAGCTTGCAGAAAGCTCAGGGAAGGTTGGAGTTCTGGAGGCTGTGGTGAGCCTTTGTGCTCAAGAGATTGAGGTGCCAATGGGTACCTGCCTGGACTGGGTGCCCTGCACCCAAAGGAGCCGTTCCTCGCCTCAAATGGGAGTGCAGGCGAGAGAGGGGGCAATAATGAGCTGTGCCCTCTGCCTGAGCCCCTAGGGGACTCTGGGGACGCCCCCTGGGACTCTACCAAGGCTGGGAGCCTGTGGGGGGAGCGAGATCTGGAAGGGGAAGGGCTGATGGTGGCCCTGAACCTTCTAGCAGAGGCCCTGGTGATCCGAACCTCCTTTCTTGAGGTTCCCTTCCTCTGGGGCCTGGAGGTGCCTCTCTTGGTAGGGGACCTCCCTCTGGTATCTGGGGATTCCTTCCTGGAGGCCCCTCACCCGGATCCAACTCCACTTGGGCTTTGGGCCTGGCACCCCTGATCCTAGCCGCCACCGCCATTGTACTCACAGTTCTGCCGTTTACCGCCTCCCCTTTCTCTGGCCAGCCTTGCTTGAGAAAAATCCCTGCCGCCGATCTGCGGCCCAGCTGCCGGCACACCGCTTGGATTGGGCCCTCCCCAGAGAACCAGCGGAGTTTGGGGCCTTGGAAGCCTCTTTCGGCTTCCGCGGTGCTGTTTTGAGCGCTCCCAGCGCCTGTAGAGGGAACGCTGGTCACGCGCTTGCCCACGTGCTCTGGTTGGAGGACCAAGATGGTGGCCGCCGAGGTGCGACCCGAATCCCTGCAGCTGGAGAGCGTTGGGGGAGGAATCCAATGGCTCCCCAGTCCTCAAATGGCCTCCTGGGTGCGTGGAGCCTCCAAACGCCCCATGAGGCCTTTCCTCCGCTTACGCTACCATCTGGTCGCTGGGAGTCGCGCTAGCCGGTGGCACGGCTGGCTAGCGACGCTGAGCACACTAAGGAGGGGTGAGGTGCTCTTCAGTGTGCATTCTGTGAAGAAAAAGCCTTGAAGCCTGAAGAATCCGAAGGATGGTGGAAAAAGAAGTCTGGAAGAAAAAACCTGCAAAAAGAACCTCGTTTCCAAGGTGAGGGAGAGTAGGAAAAAACACTCCTTCTGGGCTGGAGTCTGAGGTTAATCTGGGAGAGAGAAGGAGGATCAGAGGTGTGGCCTCAAAAGATTATCCTCAGACTCCAGGGCAGGAGGGCTGGATTAATACCCATGTGTTACTCCTCCCACACCTCACTCTGGAAACTGGCTGTACACTATTGATTGCCATCCAACCTGACTGAGCTCGAGAGGATTTGCAAGGAATAATGGCAGAAAATTCCCCAATCTGAGTGTGCAAAGTTTGTCCCATCATACCCTGAAAGATTTGAGGCTGTAATTGATGCCGAAGGTGCTTCAACAAAGTACTGAGTGAAGGGTCTGAAAACTTCTGCCAAAGTTTTAAAAAATTTTTTACAGACATTTCTAAAATTCAGTTTTCACTTTGTTACTGTAGAGTATTGAATATAGATTAATGAGAAAAAAATTAATTTCAACAACTGCAGCATACCAAAATTGACAAAAATGAAGGGGGTCTGAATACTTCCTGAATGCACTATAAATATCATAAGTAAATAAATAAAATATGAATAAATTAAATAAACATATAATTGGGCCTAAATCAATGAAACACTGGAGACAAAAAGTGGTCGATCCTTCTTGTCCTGCATGTTCTCAATATTCTCAAGCCATTTTGAAAACGTTACAATAGGAAGATAAAACTTTGAGGAGGGGGAATAACTGAAAAATATATCAAATTTATCCCCACAATGGATTAGCCTGGATATAAGTCTAATATGCCAAACAAATTTAGGAATTTACAGGAATTATTTCTTGCCCAGCAAAAATGAAACAAGGACTGTGCCTGCTAATAGAAGATACCTGCTATAATTATTTCACTATTTACTGAATAGTATTTTGAGCATCATAAACTTCTAGGTAATGCAATAAAATACAAAAACACATTTTTTCACAACAGTGCAGAATGGAAAGAAATCAAATTAGAGGATGTGAGAGGGCAGGATGCCTAAGATTACCTAGCACTTGGGTTGATAATGGTAGGGCTGTCTGTGGGCACCAACAATGAAAGAGTGAGCCCTCTTCCTCCTTAGAGGAGGCTAGGGAAATGAGGATGATTTTTTCTCATGGTCCATAACTCCCTTGGTTTTCCCTTCTCCCCCCCCTCCCCCAACAAAGTGGAAGGCAGTTCTGTAGGTCAGCCAAGGAGAAGGAGGAGGTAGCTTCATTGGGGCTTTCCTGAAGATAGTGAGGAGAGGATAAACAACACAAGCCTATATGACTCAGCAGGTTATGGATTGTCTAATATAAAAATAAAAGTATAAAATGACATTAATCATAAAGAAATTAATGAACCTAATTAAAAATGCATTAAGTATCATTTTTAATTCCTCAGAGATATGTTCTAATAAACATAACAAGAATTCTAGCAATTCAAAGTAGTTTCATTTTTAAAAGTTCTTACCAAAGACTCTTTCATCATTGATATTTTTAATGCAGAACCACAGGCCTGCTGGGAAAGTACAGACGAGAATATGTAGATCAAAAAAGAAGGAAACCCAAGTTGTAGGCTGATGCTCAGACACTGAGGCAATGATCGGGATGTGAACTTTTGCATACCTTGTTTAAAAGAAATTCAGTTCAAATTATTTTAGTGATGAAACTCTAATAATAAAAAACAATACAGCTGAGAATTACTTTTTTTTGTTTATATACATCATGTCTTTAAACACCAGTCATATCCTTCTCTTTTCAAGGTTAGTTTAAGTTTTTGGGTTGTTTGCATCTGAGTGTGTCCCTACATTGCTTCAGTTAAATTTTAGAAACTGGGAAAAAGTGGTTCTCATTACAAAAATACTGTTGGCCTCCTTGTCAGAAACTGAATGATGTTATCAAATGCATCCATTTATTCAAAGAATGAGAAAAAATGGCATGACATAAATATCAAAGTGTTCTTTTGCATATTCATCTCATAAACTATACTATTTATTGTTATACAAGTTGTTTAACACATTATATTCATATTCTATTCAGTGAAGTAACATGTTACCTTCTCCTTTAACATGCATATATTAATACAATGAATTATAAAAATGGCATATTACACAATATTAAATATAAATTCAACATTAATTATGAATAAATTATAGAAGATTAATCCAAAGATGGAATATAAGAAATCAAACTGAACAGCAGCCTCTTTTTTTAACAAAAGTAAAGGCTCTTTTACTGCAATAAGAAAAAAAAATGACACTAATGGAGGTTTTAAAGTTTGTTTCAGTGTGGACAGTAAAAAGCTCTTGTTTATGCTCAAAAGACTTTGTTCTTGCTGGGAGAGATATGGAGTCGTAGTAGGTAGCCTAGCTGTTTTCCACTGACAGGTCTAAGGGTCTGTAATTTTAATTTATATTTATGCTTACCCAGTATCCCACAATGAATAGAATCTGCCACTCCATGGTGCAATGTAACCTGAAAATATATATTCCGGTAATTTAGCAGCTACTGTGCAAATATATATTAATTTTCAAACCTTCAAAACAAACTGTTCTCTCAGTCTATATTAAAAAATATTTGTCTCCAACTTTACTTTTAAACTAAACTAATTTCCTTAGTCCCAACTCTAAAGTAAATTGTTCCTTTTTCATGTATTGATACTTATTTTTACTGACTGTCTGTACCATTTTAGTTGTACAACAAACTACAGAGGTCTCTAACAATGAAAGATAGAACTTCCCTTAAGTTGCAGATTCTTTAATGGTCTCAAACAGGGATTAAAAAAAAAGATCAGAATGGAAACTTTAAAGTGTACATTTCTGTTCTACTTGAACCTTTGTTTCAAATTCTTTAAAACATTTTAACATTCTACTTCTCTGCAATAAAATGTATGCTTCTTATGAAACATCTACTAACAATTCCAAAGATACTACATTATCTGAAATTATTATTTTATGAACAGAGGCAGACATAAAATACCGTTTTGACTCCAGGCTAGATATAGTTTGGCAGAAATGAAACATTAACATTTATGTTAATTCTGAACAGAACAAAATCTTGGCAGAGTGAATAGGGCAAGGCTCATTCACACCATCCCTATCTCTCCCCGCATAAATTCCCAGTATAACATATCCACTGGCTGAACTGCTCTCCACATTCCCAGAGTCTTTCCCCCCCATCTTTCACCAACATTTCAGCACAATGTATCATAGATCTGACTGCCCTCACCTTCCCAGCACCTTCATTCCCTCCCCATGGCATAGGGCATAGGCTACTGGCTTGCCCAGAGCCATTTGTCATAAGCTATTGATGTCCTTGCCTTTTCTCCTGCTACCCATAACCAACTTTACTCATCCATGTTATTCCATGCACAGAAAGAAAAAATATCCCAAAACAAATGTATTGTATCTGGGCACAGACTCCCAAGCTAGCTGTGCTATGCATGGAAAAATTAATATGAGGAACATTTGCAGATCTCTACCCAATAATTATTTTGAGCTGTCAGAAAGGTTTCTATGAAACATTTATTGGATACCACTTACCTGTATATGTTAAGTAGATAACGCTCAGGAATACAATTCCAGCAGCCAAAGATATACCTAAGAAGAATAATGTCTGAAATTCTTGCTTTGTTAGTCTGTCTCTCATATACTGCAGGAAAGCATAGGCTTGCAGAAGAGCAAATACACCTATTAAAATGCAAATAAACAGTTGTGTTTTGTTTAACAAACAGTCCTCGCTCTAAACAAATGCTAATCTTAAGTAATTTTGCTCACATTATGCATGTTTCTTTTACTGATTTTATGTATTTACATGAATTTCTTTACGTTACCATATGTATGACCATTGTATTTTAAGATGTTCTTGTTTTGCTAATGTATGTTCATTACCTGTAATATTTTTTTTTCTGCAGCTTATTCCCCCCCATGTTCATTTTTTTTATTACTCACTGAAATATTTAAAATGTCAATTCATTTTTATTTTTATGCTTAATTTTATTTTTTTCAACTACTTATTTCTATGAAACAAGTTGAACTGAATCTGAAAAAGGAATTAATTAAAATGCTTTGGGACAAAATACAATCCTGAATTACAATAATGATAAAACATCAAATTGACACATTTCTATCATATTAGAACACAGGGGTTAAACTTTCAGCGGTACATTGCAGTCATGTGACATATTGCGATATTTTTCCCTTTGTGGAACTGGGGTGGGCACGGCCTATGCGTGATGCATCCAGCCTGGGGGCCACACCCCTGTATTACAACATATAACCTTTCTTGTAAAACTGCCTCTAACCTGATTGTTTTGATATTACCCCATTTTTGTATCTTTTCCTACTTTACAGTATCTTATTCAGATGTGATTATCATATCAGTACAGAATATTTCAAATAAAGCCTCATCATAGATTTATATAAATCCAGTGTACATTGACAAAGTTATTTTCAATCTCCTTAATGATCCCAATAGGCAGAAGGTATGCTTATAATAATCCTCAAGTTTACATTTTCATTCAGCTAAAATGTATCAACATTCTTTCCTGATCACTCTTGTCAGCTGAGAACCCATTAATATATATGTGAAGATTTGGGTTGTTTTTTTTTGATCACTGCATATCATTTTATACTTACGCTGAAGTGCATTTTGTCATTTTAAGACCCACTCACCAATTTGTAGATATTCTTGTACATATTCTCCTTCATGGTTGCTTTTTGATCAGGAAATGTAATAGCTACTTGGAACATCTCTCCAAACAAAAAATTACTAATTTATTCCTACAACTGCTGTTTGTCCATTACTAATTAATAGAATATCTGCATTGTGGCACAGTAGTTAGAATGCAGTATTGCAGGCTAACTCTGCTCACTGCTAGGAGTTCAATTCCTTTGATCCTGACGAATCCTTCCATCCTTCCAAGGTCAATAAAATGGGAACCCAGATTGTTGGAAGCAATATGGTAACTGCTTAGAAAGGGCTGTAAAACACTATGAGATGGTATATAGGTCTAAGTGCTAATGGTAAACACTTTTATGCTGCTAAATTAGTTAACAAACTTTGAAGGGTGTCTTTGCATATTTTGCCATTCAAAATAACTACTGATAATCTTATATATAGTTTTGCTGTCAACAAGGTTAATAAATGATGACACACATCAGCACAGGATTATTACTGGGAAAACTTGTGCAATATTTAAGAGGAATAAGGGTAAAATTAATCTGACTATAAATAAGTCTGACCATTTCTTCAAAGCTTCATTCAAAGCTTCAGTTGTTCTGAACTAGGGAATTTACAATCAGAATAAATAGTTCTCAACCTATGATGACAATTGAGCCCAAAATTTCTATTGCTAAGTGACAGTGGTTAAATGAGTTTTCCCCATTTTATGACCTTTCTTGCCACAGTTGTTAAATGAATCACTGCAGTTGTTAAGTTAGTAACATAGTTGTTAAGGGAATCTATTTTTTTCATTGATTTTACTTATGAGGTTGCAAAAAGTGATCACATGACCATCATAAATATGAACGTTACCAAGCACTCAAATTTTGATCATGTGATCATGAGGATGTTGTAATGGTCGTAAGTGTGAAAAGTGATCACATCATATTTTCAATGCCATTGTAACTTCGGTCATTAAACAAATGGTTGTAAGTCGAGTATTACCTGTACTGAAGTTCTGGCCCTTGCAGTGCCCCAGCAGTCATATAAATAAAATTTTGGTGTTTCGCAACCAGCTTTAATTGTGACCAATTTCAAGTCCCTGCTGTTATGAGATCACAATTTGCAACATTCCCTACTGGCTTTCTACAAGTAAAATCAATGGAGAAGCTGTCAAGGAAGGTTGTAAGTCAATAGGTGAGTCTTCATCCCATCTTCTCTCCACTTGCATGAACAGCACTGTCTTTCTCCTCTTCTCTCACACACCTTTTGCCCTATGATCTCCCTTATCTTACATCCTCCTTCCATGGGCTGAGGTGGATGCACCCCTTACCCTCTTTCCAAGCCTCCCTGCAATCACACACGTGAATTCTACACTCTCTTCATTGGTCTTCTTAAGCTTGTGCTCTACCACAGCACCCTTCTATTTCAATCTCAGTATGTTCTCCACTAGCCCTCCCTCACCTCAGTGCAGCACCTCCATGCTCTTTATCTGACACTCTCTCCAAATTATTTAACAAGTCTTGGGTTAGGACAATGGCCTGGATTGTAGCTAAGTGAAGCAGTCACCTGATGTTGTGCTTTATGACCAAATCATTTAGACATAGCAATCCCTGTCCCAATTACAGTTGTAGCTTGAGGACTACCTGTAAATATCTGTAATAATTAGGTAAAATTGTGCTATATAAGAACTTCCATTTTACAAGGCTTATTTTATTTTTGTTTATTTGATTTAGATTCTGCCTTTCTTTTAGAGTATTAAGGCAGCATATATACCAACCCAAATAGAAATTTCTGGATATCATGTTAGAAAATTAAAACTTCTAAACTATTTTATTCTAATCATTTTTATGCTATAACAATAGAATAAGAGATAAAATTACACAAGTATTATAACTTACTAACAAGTTATATTTTCTTTCTTCCTTTTCTACACTTATGGCTTTTTTTCTTTCCTCTTTTCTCTATTCTAAATATTCATTTTCATTAGTTTTTTGTTTTTTACAAAAATCTTTATTAAAGAAATTAAAACTTAATTGTGTGTATTTTCAATACATTAAATTCTTTCTTACCTGCAGCTGCCATGTGCTCACTTGTCCTAATTGGCTGAAATCCAACAAAAGGTATCTGCATGGATAATATTAATCCAACAATGTAGAAAGTGCTATATGCTGTGAATAAAAAAGTATCAGATTACTATAAAACAAAAAAGTTAATTTTTAAAATGATATATTTTTAGGATTTGTCACAATATTTGAAAGCCATTTTTGTAATATAAATTTATGTTATCAAATACTAACTGGTACACTGACATTTTGGTTCCTTAATTAATTCCATTATAGAAAAGGGATTTCTAAAAGTTTGAGGCAGCCTGAATATCATTGTAGCAACATATAGAGGTAGAAATGATTGGAGACAGAGAATTGGCAACTCTCAGGGAATGCGTCCTCAAGGTAGGTTGTTTCTGTGATGTGTTCCAGTCCCCTAATCTTAACCCAAGAGTCCCAAATAGCAAATCTTCAAGGGACCAAGCTTTTGCCTTCTGGTAGTAAATACAAAGTCTATCTGTAATATGGTCATCTTCAGCCATGAGTTGATCACTGATGAGAGGAATAAATAGGCATGTATATCTGAGTCTTGGGTTGGGATTGGGGTGGCAATGGTGCCTCTCTTGGAGATTTGTCCATTAAGATTCGGATATTTATCAGCCAAGAACCCTAAACTAGGACCAAATGGCAATGGTAGTCAGGACAAGTTAATATATGTATCAATTACAACTATTCCTAGATTGGGATGTTTTGTTCATAGTCAATTATGCTTTACTCATAACTGAATGGACTATAGGTAGTCTTGAACTTGATCATTATTACATTGAAGTTGAGCATTATCATATTCAAAAACAAACCTAGCCACTAATATATACAGCAAATTCAAATTCAAAATATTGATTACAGTCAAAGCCAGTACAATTAAAAATACTCTAAGTGTATCTAGTTAAAAGTTTTAGAATAAAATAATGTGAAATAGCAAATAAAATCTGTGTTAAAACATAATTTGCCAGCCTGTCAGTTGAACATAAACAAAAGCATGGCCTAAGCTATAATGTAATATTAAATTATAAAAGCCTATAATTATTATGTACTAAAATACAACAGAGCAAAAATATAAAAAGATTGCTGCATTAACTGTATAAAATGGTTATAATGGATTATTCATCAAGTTCTGCTGTGCAGTATTTGTATTTTTCGGAGTATAAGACGCTTCGAAGTAGGTTTAGGTTTATTGGACTTATATGCGGCCCCTTCTCACAAAGGACTCAGAGCGGTGTACAACATAAAACACATATTATATAAGTTAAAAGAAAGATGAAATAAAATATAAAAAAACCCAATAGACATTTACAATGAGATTTAGAAATTAGATTAAAATTACTAATTAAAATTACTAATTTATTTTACTCAGGCCAGGCCAGCTTGCTGGAAAAGTCAACTTTTTAGGGTGTGCCAGAAGGACCGGAGGTCGGGAATTATGCGACGCTCCGGGGGCAGCTCATTCCAAAGGGAAGGCACTCCCACAGAGAAGTCTCTCTCCCTGGGGGTCGCCAGCCGACACTGCCTGGCCAACAGCACCCTGAGGAGGCCAACTCTGTGGGATCGTACTGGACGGTGAGAGGCTACCGGTGGCAGTAGGTGGTTTCGCAAGTATCTTGGGCCTAAGCTATGGAGCACTTTAAAGATCATAATTAACACCTTGAATCGCACCCGGAAAACAACCGGCAACCAGTGCAGGCCGCTTAAAAGGGGTTTAACATGGAAGCACCTAGGTACCCCCATGACAACCCGAGTGGCCGCATTCTGGACCAGCTGAAGCCTCCGGGTGTTCTTC